AAAATAGATGGAAAAGGCGGCTGCTATAGGGAACACAAAACAGATTTTCAGACTAATAAATAAACCAGAATAAAGAAGTCAAATGTAAGTGCGATGATCTCGGAAAAAGACGACACTTATCTGCTCTCAGCCCAGACATTTAGAACGATGGGACGAACACTTTAAGGAGTAGGTCATCTGGCCTTCAGCTACTCTACAATCACCCACCACTCCCAGACAGCGTGAATGGAACATTGAAGTAGGTCCCCTGACTCTAGCTGAAGTTCAAAAAACTACAGCTAATCGGAAACGAGGAAGAGCAGCTGAACCAAATGAATTAGCTCCAGAGGTCTTTAAGTATGGTGGTCCAATTTTAGCGATTAGGATGACTAATATTTTAGTTAAAATCTGGGAGTTGGACGTAATCTCATCTGACTGGTCACAATCACTTATCGTCCCAATATATAAGAAAGGGTCAAAATCATCCTGTGACAACCACAGAGGGATTAGTTTAACAAACATAGTATCTAAAATACTGGCCTCGATAATTATCAAACGCCTAACTAAGACTCGTGAACTACAAACACGAGAGAACCAAGCTGGCTTCAGACCTGGTCGTGGCTGCATCGACCACATATTCACCATTCGTCAGGTTCTAGAACACAGGCATGCTCGTCGGTGTCCGACAATGCTGGTCTTTCTTGACTTAAAAGCAGCATTTGACTCTGTAGACCGAGAGGTTCTGTGGCAGTGCCTGTCATTGAAAGGCGTACCTCAGAAGTACATAAACCTTGTGAAGGCTCTTTACTCGAACACTACTAGTCGAGTCAGAGCTTATGGCGGACTGTCATCTGCTTTTGCAACCTCAAGTGGTTTCCGTCAAGGCTGTCCACTTTCTTCAATTTTGTTTAACTTCATCATAGACTTACTGATGGAAATTATGCTTCCATCGACTGAATTTTCGTAGATTGATCTACCAGGAGATCCACTTACCGACTTAGAATACGCAGATGAAATAGTCCTGTTTGGTGAAGATGCTGGTAAAATGCAGATTCTTTTGGTAGCACTGAGCAACAATGCCAGAATGTTTGGAATGCGCTTCTCTCCCTCTAAATGCAAGTTGTTGCTTCAGGACTGGTCTGCGTCAACACCTGAACTAAGGAATAGGGAGTGAAGTGGTCGAACGAGTTGACAACTTCACTCATCTTGGAAGTCTGATCAGCCCTAATGGGTTGGTGTCTGACGAAATCTCAGCACGGATTCGTAAAACTCGTTTGGCTTTTGCCAACTTTAGTCACCTAAGGCGAATGTGAGATAACCGTCTATTAATCAACGGATGAGTATAGTGCACGGCAGTTTGTTCTGTTATACTTTACAGCTGCGAAACGTGTCCATTAAGAGTAGAATATACTCGTAAGCTACTAGTATTTGACCACAGATGCCTTAGAAATATTGCCAGCATCTGCTGGGATCACCGGGTAAGTAATAGTGAGGTTAGATGCGGGGTATTAGGGAATGATAGTAAATCAGTTGATGAGGTTGAGAATCTTAATCGACTGAGATGGTTGGACCACGTGTTGCGTATGCCTGAACACCGATTACCACGACGCACAGTGTTAACTAGTGTTGGGGATGGTTGGAAAAAAGTTAGGAGCGGTCAGCCAAAACGTGGCGTCAGTGCTTGAAGTCACTAACTTTTGGTCTGAGCCATATTGGGAGATGCAGACTACTTGGTTGGGGTCCGCGTGACTATCGTAACCAATGGTTGGAGACTCTGAGTGACATGGCTGAGAATCGATCACTATGGCGTTTTTGTATACACTCTCTGTTTTCCATTAAAACATGACATTTAAATCACTTTGTACCTTTCTTTTCACTAACTGATTCTTTCTTCCTGTATCATATCCTTATATGAAATGTTTTTTTTACTACCATTGAAGTAACTGTTTCTATGAATTTGATGTTCATCTCGTTGTGCTAATGAGGTATGCCAACCTCGACCGATGCAAATATGATACTAGTTCTATGTTGTAGATGACTGGTTGATTGAAATGATATGTTTCAAGTCTATTTTAATCACAAACTAGCACTTTTCATCTGATTTCTGCACTCCGTTAACGTAAGCCGAATACGGAAATAACTTTCAGTTTTACAGAGGCTGTTTATGTTGTTTTTATTATGAAGGGTTATAATTATCCCGTTTGTGATGTTCGAAACTGAATTATTATCATTCTCAGTTTATATATGTGCATTCTGATCGAAATCCCTTGCTATAATCATCGTATCTTAATATTTTAGTTTAGATAGATTGTGTTAAGCAGTGGTATTTATGAGGTGCGCTTCATCGCATCTGAAACTTTTTAGTCAAATGTATCGGCATCCCAGGTAGGACATAAAGCAGTTCCATTATTCCACTATTGACCATAAACTACATTTTTTTTACAGACTATTGACTTGTTTCATTTCAAACTAATTCCTGGAAAATGAATCGAAAAATCCAATCTATCTAATTAAATGTATTGACCTTAAATCTAAACGTACATGTTGTCGCCTGAATTAAATAATAAAATTACTGATTATATTTTTTCTGTGAAGTGCACGCTGAATTTCATTTTATAAGGTTTTTATTATGGTCCATAGATGTAGTCTGAAATAACATCGTAATATCCTACCTATAGTGGTATATATATATAGAACAAAATTATTTTTCCCAATTGTTCAACTAATGACGCCTTAGTATTATGATGAATATAGTTTCTCATTAGACAATTATATTCATCCGTTAATAATTATTAAATTGGTCAGATTATTTGTACTTTCAGTTAGGTGATTTTATAGAAATGCAATCTGTGTGAAGGTTATCTTGATTATGCTATCTTTACTAAGCTATGAACCGATAAACAAATGAATGGAAGATACAACATAATAAAGACATACAGATAGCTAGACATGAATTATAAATTTATATGCTTTAGATATGCTCCATACAAAGTTAGTTATTAGTTTAGCCACATAACTGTAAGAGTTGAATAGTTCATGTGATTTCTTGTCCAAAATGATTATAATTATATCTGTTATTGATAAATGATAGTAAGGAGATTTCTAGGACAATTCTATTGCCACTTAACTAAAAGTCCCTTGTCTTTAGTTCTTTTATTAATGGATTTATCGAGAAAGTGAGCATACAGTAGGAGATTTCATTTTATTATGTAATCAGACTTACGATTTGATCCATCTTTAATTCAGCACTCAAGCTAGTTTTAATCTATTAGATAGCCTTTAAGTGTCACCTTTTCTTTGAACACTCTCATCCATGTTTTGTTATCATTAAAGAGAACAAATATCTGGCTGAAACTCGAGTATACTATGTCATATGTACCATAGTGTGAATAAAATTATACAACAGATATGATTAAAATTATCGTCATAATAACTCACTCTACGGCTTTCTTAAACATTATATCAATAGGATACATATGATCATCATTCGAGGGACTGAAGTAGTGTAATAATAAAGAAAAATATTAAGAGTTTTGATTACTATTTTACAAATAATTTACTCTCCTGGTTTGTGTTCTTGTTTCTAACTGTCTCAAGATGAAATGTTCGGACATAAAATTCAAAAACAAGACGACTAACGCATGAAACTATCTAGAAGATTAAAAAGAAATGAATATTCCATCCTTAACAGAAGTTAAATCGATGATCATCAATTTTGTGTAATTATACTAATCTATGTATCCCTTTATTATTTATGGCTCACGAAACTTAGTTCATCATGGTTCTTCTTGATCACTCACATCCAACACAACGTCTTACGTATAACTCTTTGGTTTTCATGATTCATATCATAAACTGATTTTAGCTAGATTGACATTCGACACTAAGAAACATTGGAAAGCTATTTCGTTTTAGTATGGAACTCTTCACTGATCTATATCCAAAACACAGTCAAAAGTTCAACACAGAGCGTTCAGTCTCACATGCGAACCCTTATACTTCCGATCATTGAGCTGACATCCAACAATGTACTCAGCCGACTTCAATCAATTCACGATATTATATGACCATCTTCCATCTACTGTGACTGAACTCCATTGGTCACCTATATTTAGTTCAAATCTTAAACTTCATAAAGTAATTTACCTTCGATTTAGTAAGATTATCCACCTAGTTTCGTAAAAAGTTCACTTCGAACTTGGAAATAGGTGACTCGTCTAATTTTCCAAATTGGTTATTCATTTATTACAAGATGTATCCCTGGGAATTGCATTGTTGGACAATCTTACTTAAATAATTTGACTGACTAAGAAAGTATTAATTTCATTTATTAAATAACTGTCATTCACAAGTCAGATTATTAAAGTATCAGCCAATCCAAAATAATTACTTGGAATTTACAAGTCCAAAATATTTATTCAATTAAAATTTTGTCCTAAATGTATTCAGGTAATTTATAACTTTTGCAGCAGCATTTCAAAAACTTTCAGCCAATCAAATGGAAATCTTAGTTTTAGACCATATTCTGAGAAGCTGGAGTATCAAACAGTTACTTTTAATTTCAATAGTTGAGATCATGAGTCAATTGAAGCTAGATCACCATGGAAAACATAGAAGCACTGGACCGCCGTTTCATCCTAGTATGGGACTCCTCATTAGTGCGCATCCACGATCCCACCTCGACGAGATTAGAACACAGAACACATCGGTCTCGTGCGCGAACTCTTAACCTCTAGAACACTAAGCCGGTCAGAATCCAACGGTGTTAATGTCTAACTTCAAATGATCCACGAAATTGAGCGACACATCCACTATTGTCTTCACTGAGTTAATATCTCACAACAGACCCGGTTGAACTTCACTGGTCACGGCTTCTCACTAGAACTCCAGGAGATATCTTCTAAAGCCAGTCACTAGTGAGCATATATATAAATTTTAATATACAATTTATCTATCATAAACTCAACACTTCATACATTTAACCAAATAAATTTCATTTCTCCCTCGTTTTTTTCATACAGAAATTCTTCACAAGAAGCGTGTTTGATTTACGCATTGAACATTTGATCTTAAATTTGGCAAACCATTTAAATAAATCAAATGAATTAATATATAAAGAGAAATGCTTTACACATATCAATATTAATCAGTGTCATTTTGTTTTAGGCATATGTATAGCTGAAACAAAGTATATAAATAATGTAAACCAGCGTATTTTATTGAATAGACCAATTCTAATTAAACGTCAAGATAAATTAATTCATCCTTATAATCGAACATCATCATTTTCATGGGAATTTTATAATGATTTATTACCAGTCGATTGTGAAATCGGACATGGACAAATTTTAACCGGTTTACTTAATTTGAATACATCGATTAACCATGTTAATTTAACTTACAGTGTTAAATTAAGCACAATGATAAAGGTAAGTATAACTTCTTAATAGTATTTGTATATATCTACATTTATTAATTTACAGTTACTAATTAAGAAATTGGTCTCATTATTAATTTTGTCGAAATTCATTCGACCTTAATATTGCAATGTGGTCAATGGAATGGCTGGTTGACTTTGAATAGTCAGTAAGGGGTTGTGGAGATTGTTGAATTTGATTGAAATCATGAACCTATAGAATTTTTTGAAACATTCAAGAAAGATTTCAAAAAACTCAGTTTTATTATCTGGAAAATGTACATGATTTGTCTCAATAGTGATTTGACGTAATTTTATCTTTGAAAAAATTCCCAATTATTAACTTAACTCAGATACAAAGAGATTTATTCATCTGAAGACCTAAAGGTATAATGGTTCATTTATATATAAGGTCATATGTATCTACTGGTTGTTCTACTCGTTGTTTAACGGATTACAATTTGTCATTAAACTGATCAATATCTTCACAATAACCACCAAAATCAATTATTATTCTATTATCAGAGGGGGTTTTGCGGAGATTTTGAAAAGTTCACTGATTGAAATCATGAGTCGATTGAACCTAGATCACCATGGAAAACATAGAAGCACTGGGCGGCCGTTCGTCCTAATACGGAACTTCTCAGTAGTACGCATCCACGATCCCACACCTCGCGGGATTCGAACCCAGGACCTATCGGTCTCGCGCCAGGCGCTTAACCAACTAGACCACTAAGCTGGCCGGCATCCAACGGTGTTAATGTCTAGCTTCAATCAATCCACGAAGTTGCGCCACCGTATACGATTGTCTTCACTGAGTTGATATCTCACAACAGACCTGGTTGAACTCCACTGGTAACGGCTTCTCACTCCTGGAGTTCTAATTCCGGCTCAGTGGTCTGGTTGGTTAAGCGCCTGGCGAGAGACTGATAGGTCTTGGGTTCAAACCTCGCAGGGTGCGGGATCGTGGATGCGCACTGCTGAGAAGTCCTATACTAGAATGAAACGGCCATCCAATGCTTCCAGGTTTTCCATGTTGGTCTGGGTTCAATTGACTCATGATTTCAATCAGTGATATTATCCTATTAAGCAGTAAAGAGAATAATTAATCACAGCATGAAGTAATCATTCATTATCATTGTATTATCATCATGATTATCAAAAATGATGGGATTGAAAAGTACACGTACTTCTTTTACACTAATTTACTTTATATGAAATTACAATAAATATCTAATTCATACCAATTTGAACAGATGGGAATTGACACATTGAATTCAAATATTATCCTTTTTATTAAAATCTACTTCATTTGTTTCTTGTTTGTTTATCTTATATGGTTTGATTTTAAAAAGTTGTTGTTTATGAATAGTGTAAAACTGTGATATAAGTGAAAACACATGTTCTTTCATTTGTAATGCATTATACGAAATCCGCTAAAATTTACACTGTTATTTTTACGTGAGGTATGCAAATTTTGGATTTTGTAAAGTAATGAAGAACGTGTTATTTCATTAATTATAACACAATAAGAATACTAACTACTACTACTACTATAACTAGAGAGTGATACATTGAAGAAATAAGTTAATGAAAGAACACATTGAGGTTTATGACACAAAAACACATGTATGTAAAATGTGAAATGAATTTGTTGATGTGATCTTAACTTTAATCCCTAAAAGTTGATCCTTGTAATTATTCTCTATAATAATGATTATAGTAGAAGTTATTTATCAGGATTTACATTATTGAGTAATAATAATAGCCAATCAATAAAGTTTAAACACTTAACATTGGTTATGTTCATTTGTAGTTGAGTTTATCAACAGTAATAGCTGAAGATATTCAACATAAGTAACTTAATTGAATTGAACACGCTAATCTAACTAACGGATGTAGATAATTTATTGACCTACTAATAAATTTGACGAAATATATGATTATTCATTATTAACTTGACTGTCGATGTCAACATTTATCATATTTGAATAACTTTTAAACTGGTGATTTCTATCCCTTTAAAAAAATCCAAGTCAAAACTAAAATGACTCTTGTCAAAGAATAAAAAAGTAATATACTGAATACATAATTAGTAAGTCATCTGTGCGACATGGTTTTAACTATCGTATGATTTGCAAAACATTTCAATTTATATACCCTTTCATTATTGAGGTTTCTGTAGTTTAGTATCAGTTGAATGGCCGTTTATAATTGGCTGATTATTGACAATGATTTTTCTTATTCACAAGATCTTCAAAAACATGTTACAGTCGTAAACTGTCGACCCATTTTATGGCATTGTGCTTGTTTAACAAGACCCGAATGTTACAATCATTTGCAACTAGCTATTTCGTATGATCTGTAATTCAGTATAATAATGTTCGATATTATTATTGTTTCATAAACCAAACTTTTATTCTTACATTATATCATTCTTGTTATAAAGTGACATTTTGTGTGAAAATAATTTGTATCCCAAGTTTATTTACTTCATTTGGATTGTCAACTCAGATTATTTGCTAGCCGTTTGAGGCTTTAAAGACGACTGATTGACTTAGATTGCTGTGGTCGACAGTACTAAATATAGCTTTAGATGTCTTTGATCTGTATTTCTGACTTGTTACCACTCGTCAGTAAGCAAATATCTAATACACCGTACAAAGCATCTTTTCCTCAGATTCATCAGCCTAAGTCTGATTTTGTTACGGCTAATGATTCTGTAACTAAGTTATTCGGCGATATATCGAACTGTGAATTGCAATCACTGCGTGATGATCAACCACGTATATGTTGTCTCCTGTGGATAAACTTTACATCAAGTGCCTCCTGCAGATCATCCCCAATATATATATATATATGACCAATGCAATACTGACCATAAAAATTCTATAATCTCCACAAAATCTCCACATTGTAAATAGTGATACAGTCTTTGGTGGCTAGTTCTGAATTGCGATTTCAGGAGTTCTAGTGAGAAACTGTGACTAGGCGAGTTAAGTCGTGTCGGCTGTGAGGCAATTACACACCACAGTCAATGGAAGATGATCATACAATTTCATGAATTGATTAAAGTCGGATGGTTACATCATTAGGTGTCAGCCCAGTAGTCTGGAGAGTAAGGGTTCGAATATGAGAATGAAGGTTTTGTGTTCGATTCCTGATTGTGTTTTTGATACACACCAGAGAAGAGTTCTATACTTAAACGAAATAGATTTTTAATGTTTCCTAGTATCGAATGGTGTTCTAGCTAAAATCAGTCCGTGATCCAAACTATGATAATGTAATAAATGACTTCTGGTGTACTATTAAGAAATGGGTAGATATAATACAAGACAAATTGATCGAACTCAACTTTATTTTGGCAAAAACTGATCATACCATAGACTAGCGTTTACTTTCGCCTCTATGTATTTCAGTTCAAAAATTATCAACATTCTACGAATTTACTCTACTACTTGAAAACAGTTTTGTGATTAAGAGTGGGATTTTAAAAAGAAAGTATTCTAACTATAATTTGTACACATTACATAGGCCAGTGGCTATTCGAACTCAGTAGTTTAGTGGATAATGAGTTGGTGTTTGGAGAAAAAAACTACTGATTTAGTCTCGGTGCAGATATATCAACACTGGTAGGCTGGTATATCTAGTTGATGAGTCTTAAAGAGGATGAACTACATATCCGAGATTCCAATATTAACCACTATTCAAATGTACTAAAAACAGTTAACCATATGTAACTAGATTTTTCGAACTAGTTTTCTTTCGACTTACTAGTTTATTATTTTTCTCTATTTTCTATTTTTAGCATAATGTAAAATTGTTATTCAACGTATATCATCTTACATCTAACGGAGGTATGGAAAAAATGTGAATGTGTTTACTCTGTACTCTTTTTGTCACTGCTGATTAGTTCATTTTATTACTTTTGTTTTTAATTTCAACCAATTTCTTTTTATCAGTAAACAGGGTTTTATGGAAATCGAGGAATTTTTCACAGTTTATATCACAAACTGATCTTATTCAGGCAATCATTGAAAACCAGGGAAATATTTGACAGTTGTTTCATTCTTGTTTGGAAGTGCTCAATAATGAACATTCACCACTCCTACAGGAATCAAATCCAGGGACTTTAGATCTCTCGGCGAGCAATTACCTTTTAGACCACTGATTTAACATCCTAAGGTTTACTTTTCTAACCTCACGCAATTTGAGATATTCCACAACCATTTTCTAGCGTCATTGGTAGCTAGTTGTCTAATTATCAACATGAGACTCCACTGGTCACGGATTTTCATTAGAATTCCAGGAATAGCCTCTCAAAATTATTCACTAGTAAATATATTAAAGTGTTTAAAAAGTTTATTACTACTGTAAACACTTAGTTTATATAAATGTTTACTTATCACCTTAGCCTAGTTGAAAGTAGTATCTTATATAAGTAAAAGCATTTCGAAGTTAAAAATCAAAGACTAAGTTGTGAGGTTACACTACAACTTTTCTATCTTAAACAAGAAAGTTTTCAAATCATATTGACTGATCTGCCTGACCCCAAAGAGAATGTTTACAATTCTGACATAACAACTGTACTATATGTGCTGCTGGAAAATCTAAACAATTGAATACTACAGGTTCTAAAACTATAGGCTAGTAGTTTTATCCAGAACAGTATTTTCACTTGATAGCCCAAGGAATAAATCAATAGGGAAACAAGTCAAATGTATTTAGATACTACAGAGTAAATAAGTAACACCCACGACCCCGCTAGCGGGATTCGAACCCTGGGCCTTCAGTCTTGCGGGCGAACGTTTAACCTATCGGACCACAAAGCCGGCATCTAATAATGTTAATGTCTAATCTTAACCAATCCAAGAAATTGCGCGACCATCTTCATGATCTCAATTAAAAACTTAATAATCTCCACAACCTCTATACTGATAACTAAGTATCAAATATACTTGAAAATATTTAGTAAACAAACGTCTTCTTATTGAGTATTTCATCATAATTTTTGCCAAGGTTTTTCATGCAACTCAATATATATATATATATATATATATATATATATATATATATATATATATATATATATATATATATGTCAAATGTAGCTACAAGGCTAAGTGAGATGGTATTTTGACACAGCATAAATATGTGTATGTATTTGTTGATACGATGAAATTTCCAAATTCATATTTCTTATTCACTGAAACAAAACTCATTGAATAGGTGAAAATCAAAACAAATTAATTTTCTTCTATATTCAAGTGAAAAAACACCGGAATATTCCACTTAGAAGTTAGCTTGTTTATCAAATTAAAATTATGCCTCGTATACAGTTTGCTTTTGTACATACTTTAAATGAATCAGCATACTGTAGTAGCAATATCCAGGTGAAGATGAACAATGTTAGTGTAAGAATGAGCTATGAAAAGAGTTTTCTCCGTAATTTTATTTTTATTACCAAATCACAGGAAATATTGCACGCCGGTTAAAATAATTGTTTTCATTCCCTCTTTGATTCATCAATTACACATTTTATTGTAGACGAACTAACTATTTTTTAAAAGTAATCCTGAACAAATCATACATTTTTATTATTTCAGATTTATGGCTAATTGATCAGCTATCTTCAATATTGTCCAGGGTTGAACTAAATCAGCCATGGAGGCCAATCAAATTGCTTGAAACTCGATATAACTCAAGTACAGAAATCCGTAAAGCATTTAGAAATGAAAATTCTATAAACTCATCGTCTTCCTCATTAATATTATCTCAAACATACTTTAATATTTCAGCCAGTTATCGTTATTCATGTACTTTAAACTACTATGGAGAACATTGTAATCATTACTGTAAACCACGTGACTCAAAATTAGGTCACTATCAATGTCATCCACAAACTGGTGAGTTAATATGTAATGCGGGATGGACAGGGGCAAGGTGTAATCAAGGTTAGTTATTAATCAATTTTGATTTTGATTCCGTTCCATTTTTATGTAGTTTTTTGTAGTATTCAAATATTGCTGTTTACACATGATTTTGATTATAGTCTAAAGTTTTTAAATGAAATAGAATAACATTAAATTCGTCCATCAGGTTAGTACTACTTTTAACCCTTTGAACGAAAAGAACAAGGATATATGTATATCTGTATTTAACTTTAGTCTACTTACTTTGACATCCTTAAATATGTTTGTTTGGATGTTTCTATTCTTGTGATGTTTAATTTTCAAACTCACATTGAGAATAATATTTTGTAATGTCCTTCATTTGTTTGTGTTCTGAATATTTCATTTATAACTGTATAATTATTTATATCCACTTGATCAGTAAATTGAAATTAAAATGATGTCCAGCAATACAATAAATATATTCCACAACTCTTGAATATCAGATTTTAGTTTCAATTTAGGAAGGATAGTAGGTTGAGGATCCTGGTGCTGTGAAGTAAACGCCCGACGAATATGAAATATCTTTCTTACACATTCAGAAAAGTATCAGAGACAAAAGGAACTCTTGTTATTTAATTTTTGATTTGATTCGACGTTACGGGTTTTAGTTTTACGTATATTACAATGTTATTTACGATGTATATTGACTATATTTGAAACATACAGGGTTCTCATATTACTGATAATTAGAAATAAGTAGTTAAATCTATCATGTGTAATACTTATGATAAACATTTATTCGGAAAAATAAGTTTCGATATGATATAATGAATTATATTTATTAAAACACATATCGTGATCATGAAGTTGGTGGATTTGAACTAGCTTTTTGGCATTGGTATTCTGTAGTCATATGCTGGACTGTTACCGAAGTATCCTGTTTCATACATATCAAAATGCTTGTATGGACATCAGCATCAGATATAAATCGCAGTAAACATTCAAAGATTAAATGCCTGGATTGATTGTGGCTTAGGTAACCAAGATCATGCCGTTCACATCTCTAATTCAATTTACCATTATGTATGAGAAAGCCATCATTAAACTTTAGGAAAATTTCAGGTTACTGTAAAAGCGCGGAATATCAACTACTGCCAGCTAAAATTCTTTGAAGAATCTGAACTGTCTTATAACGAGTTAGATGTAATTCCAGATTTAAGATTATAGATAAAATCAGAAATCGGTTTCACGACACTATCGAATTCACCTAAATAATCCCCAACTGACGTTTTTTAAAGCTTGGTATTTCATAACTCAATCAACATTAGCTATGTAATTTTAAACTGTTTCTGTTATTGAGATGGTAATGGTTTGACTTCATCAATCAGTAAGGATATTTTTCAAATTTAACTTGTCATTAATTTGTTATGACCATAGCATTAGTTTTGAAAAGTGAATCAAACTACTTCATAGTTCCGCTGATATCTACTGATATTACACTTAACTCATTTCTTCTACGCGAGAAGACGTACAGGGAGAAGAATATAACTCGAAGTGACAGGAAAGATAAATGTAGTAAGTAAAAAACTACTTCACATCTCATATATTGGAATCGGGACCTAGATATTGTGCTAAGGAAAGCCAATTGACCCAGAACCCAGATCTGTGGCTTCTTTTCGACTATTTACAGCTACCTGTTGGGTAGTTGTACGACACCGTTTATTCTTTAAATTACTTAATATATATATTATGATCCGGTTACACTAGTCTTCAGTTTTTTTAGTTACACAATCCACAACTTGCTTTTAGAATATCAAGAATTCGATTTCAACACCAGTCATCTATAAACATACTATAATTATTTTTGTCCAGAGGATTTTGGGGAAATATTTTGTAAATACCTTACAGATGATTTTCTTTACGAATTGACACCCTATAAGTTTTTTAGTGTTTGATGATTTCATTTCTAGCATACTTTTTGAACATAAAGTATCTTTTTTCTCATGAATTTTAGCACTTTGTAGAAAAGGTTGTAAACATGGAACTTGTATTGGACCGGAACTATGTCGGTGAGTGGAAAACAATATTCAGTTATTTTAATAGTTTTTTTTGAAAAAATTGGAATTATCCCGTCTTGATGATCTTAAATGAATCCTGACCATTGTTTGTTGAAATACATGCCTCCTGTGCGGATTGCCTCAATATAGCCAATTTTCACAAGTTTTTATAGAATATATGGAATTATGGATCCAAAACTCATGTTTTTTCCTACTTAGAAATAGTTAGCTGGATGTATCTGTATCTCAGTTCTGCTTTTCAGATCGAGACTCCAACTTAGGTGCATTCAGCTGACTAGTTCCAAAGAGGACGAAATGCTCTTTCTGAATTCCACTGCTAATCACAGATCCATCTATCGTATAGACGTTGTTTGTTAACCATACTTTATAGAAATAATCTATTTAATAAGACTAAAACTATCAATTGAGTCTATCGTTTCTGTGAAATATTAACTTACTGAGTTAAAATGATTGGTAATTTACGATAGTTTGCTTGCTTGCTCAGGTTTTTTTAGTTCTGAAATATTGGACATTGATTGATGGTGGTTCTTCTTTACACTGATGATCAATTGCTTAAATACAAGATCTGCATTTCATTTCTACTGAAACTCATCCGACAAATATGGCCGCAATTTAATAGCTGTACATCTCATGCTACATATTTTCATCGTCAGTGCTCATAGGTTTTACATATTAAAATCATATCACAAGTATATTGAATTACGTCAAAGAGCATCACTGCACGTAGTACGGTTAAATGACTTAGGGTGGTCAGCAGAAAGACTTAAATCTAGGTTTTGTGATAGTCGGGACTTGTTAACAAGGTGTATCAACAGTATTGTATAAACTAGTGCTCATCATGGGATTTTACCTCGTATCATTTAGTGCTACTATCAGAGAAGTTACCACTGTGTTATTCAATCCGTGTCAATTGTCACAAAAACTAGATCTGTGGCTTATTTTTTAACCACCGTGCGTCGAAAAGTAGTGTACTCAATATCAAGTTACTTAGACTCATGGCCATATTTATATTTGATCGATAGAATTAGATCAACACGGAGGACCAGACAAACATAACATTTTAAAACCTGTAACCGAAATACATGAAACTGTTTATTTGTTTAAATGGTTAGTGAATAATCATTAAAATTTACAGCGAACTCAGGAACTTCAGGTCTCGCTGTGGGGCATTCATCTTCGGACTATATAGTTAGAACCTAATTGTCTATGTTCCAATTTTCAATATGTCATTATCCATTATTTGGGAATCTTTTTCTGAACGAACATAGGTTGATTAAACCACCAATATATCTCACCAGTGATCGGATAGTAATAATTAGAGACATAAGAGAATTCGGTCATTCATTTAAGACTGATCTAGAAAGTAATTCTGTTTATCAATATGCGCAATGCTTAGAAGATAGGATCAAAGCAGTACGTGTTAATACCTTCAAGGGCTTAATGTGTCATCAGATGACGCATCATTTTATCTAATACTTTTCACCGTTAAACTTATTAATCTTTCTGATATCACAATAAATGACTACAATATAAGGCCTTAAGCTGCCTAAATAATTTTCTTTTGCTTCTTTAGTTGTATTGATGGATGGGCAGGTTTGAATTGTGATCAGTGTATTACAACACCGGGTTGCTTGAATGGACATTGTCAATTTAATTCGAAACACACTAGTTACTTACCATTCACGTGTGAATGTGAACCTGGTTGGACAGGGATGCTGTGCAATATCAGTAAGTTCACATAAATGTTGGTAAAGTTTTTAATTATCCAGTTATTGATATTCAGGACTAAAAAATTTTTGAACAAGTTGATGGATATATGGACTCAATAGCTTAGCAGATAACGCACTGGCTCTTGAAGTGAAAGGTACTCAGTAATCAATAAAGATAAATTATCAGAATTTATAAGTGAATTCAAAACCATCATCCGAAGAAGATTAGTTACGTTTTTCTTCACTGTATTTGTCTCTTGTTAAGAGTAATTTTAATCTTTTTTTCTAACCTGTACTTAAAGATAGGGCAGACAGATCACCGAGTTAGAATGATTTATTCTAGAAAGTCATGGGACTGATTGCTTGGGCACTAGTTACATATATGACGTAGACTTGACAAGTATTTGAGGTCAACTATTAGTTAATAAATGTGTACTACTCGTATCAGCCACATGCCTTCCACTATCTTGAAATCTCTTCATGAAGGAACATATATTTTCTGCCTAAATTACTCTTAGATACCTGTATATAGCGACCTGAAATATTTTGCTTTAAGACGTCAAAAAACGAGTAAAGTGAGAAAAGACTGAAGAATAAAATATATTGCTCAGGTAAATTGTCAACAGATAAAGAATAAGAACGAAATTTGAATTGACGTATAGTAGGTTAGGTTACTAACTGTTGGCTATGGTAATAAATATTTATATCCAATTATTTTGTATTAATAATCTATATCTAAGTCTATTATTTAAACGAATAAAATAAGTACCCATCCTGTTTCAGATACGAAGTTCTTAACACGTCTATGACAACGTCCAATTACCTCAGTCATCCAAGACTTATGCACAATGTAATTGTATATGCTAATGTCTCTAATGAGAATCGAATTTAGAACTAATCACCATACTAAGCTACTAGCATAACATCACAAGTCCGAATAAATGGAACGTAGGTTGAAGAAATGTGAGTAAAGTATTTAAATAGTGGTAAAGATTTAACTACTGTTCATTTGGTGTCTCAAAGCTTATTAAAGTGATTAGTATTTGACTTTCTGAATAACTTTTTCTTACTAACTTATCCTTACACTAATTGTTTTTACTTTTAGTCACTCGCTTTAGTATATTGATTAACTCATATGTTTGAAAAGTAAACACTTGCTATTTAGTTCGAAAGTCATCAGTTTGATGTTCAGTGGGGTCATGAGTGAACAATGATGAAGAGTGTCATACTACAACGAGATAGCTGTCTACTTCCTCTTGATCTTCAGTATTTTTCTAACTAAATTCAATCTATGATGTAAATAGAAAACTGAACTACCTCCACAATTTTAGATAACGTTTGCCAATGTCTTCGATCTATCAAATGCAATCAGTTGATAATAATAATAAAACTATTCACTTTTTTTATCATACTTTATTTTATTACAGATATGCGCGTATGTGATAGTAATGAGCATGTAAATATCTGTCAGAACCACGGTATCTGTATTAATCAACCTGACCCGAATGGATTAAAAGTATTATACAGATGTGAATGTTTGCCAGGATTTTATGGAACACATTGTGAAAAACAAATAAACAATTGTAGATTTCATGGATGCAATAACAGGGGAAAATGTAAAGTAAGTTAAAATCTGATTATAAACTCTATATTTAAAATAGCAACATTTATACCCTGCCATCAACTACAGTTTTAATTTTTAAAAAATTAGAAAATCCGAAGAACAGTAGGTAGCCAGAGAAGTCTTGATAAGTTCTATGTTTAATCTACTTGATATTCACAAACTTTAAGTTATTCTTAGCCTGAACAGTTTAAATTGCCAGATTTATTTAGTCAACATGTCAATGACAAATACCTGGTTAGAATTACACTTGTTAATATTTAACAACTATTTTCAAGTCATGTTAGTGAGTAGTTTGTAGTACTTGCTTTCTATCTTTCCGAAACTGTTTTACAAAAATGGATTTCGGAAACTTTTATAGAAAATTTGAATCTATTGAAAACTAGTCACATTATTATAAATAAACTGGATGAATTTCAAACAATCGATAAATTTTGGCCAACTCACATGAATCAGTACTGGTCCTTTACGATTCAGTATAAAAAAATAGGCCTTATTTCAACGTTTTATGCTTGGAGTTTATATTATTTGGAAATCAGTGATTTTCGATGCAGTTTTCATTATCACTTTTTAAGTTTGAGAAGTAAATTGTCGCAAGCAGGTACATTTATAAGTGTCTCAACTTTATGCATCAACGTTATTGTTATTCTAATTACAACTGAAGATCTTGTATTTTGGATAAATTCCGATAATGTCCTATAAGACTCATTCCCAAATCCATAGAATTATTTTGTTAGCGAGTGTTTAAATGAAAACTACAAATTGACACGTTACTTCATCATCATTCAAAGTTCATAGAGAGACATTTAATCAAAAGGCTAACTAATCAGCGTGCGAGATTTCTGAATTCAATATTATTTCCCTACTTAAGCATGAAAAATCTTTAAACACAAATGAAGTCTAAGTGAGTTCATTTAAATAATTTTACATGGATATCAAATATTTTACCCAGAAACACAACATATATATGTAAACCGGAAGACTATAAGCATAGCAAACGTAATCGTTAACATAATAGGACTAAAAGTTAGAATGTTGTGAGTTAACAACGTATTTCTTGAAGTTAAGTTCCATGAGATTACAAATTTCAAAGCTCGATTCAGTTATGATGATGGTTAAATATTAAAAATAAAGTGAAGAATTTACACTAGTATCAACTAGGAGAGAGTGTACTCTGAGGAGAGAAAAAACAGAGTCGGTGATAAAAGTTAATCAGTCAAGCACAACGTAGAACCCTGAATATATATGTATCTGTTCAAGTTGCCACACTACATCAATACAAAGAGATGGCAAGGTAGTATCAGTAGTAGCAGTACTAATGGTTGTTGAAAAGATAATCCATAGAAGTTTCGAGAAAAAAATATAGATTCGTGGATGAAAATAAATTTTCTAATTAATTAAGTAACTTGGGATCTCAGGGAAGACAAAAGGTGATAAACCTTGGTTACTGTGATGGATTCTGAGTCATGTCACGCAAAATATGAAACCATTGGTTACCGTAATCATGCAGACTCTAACCGGATAGTTTGCACCCATTTAGACAGTTTAGTTCAACAGTCGATAACTTTATGGGGTGAGAGTACATCACTGTTCAATCCTTTTCCGAAATGGTCTCATTAACTCCCGAATTTTTAATATCTGTTTATTTGATAAGTCAAAAGAGTTGTAGGTTATTGCCTTACCCCTATGCCCTTTTAGATTTCTCTTACTTTCATTCTGTATTTGAGTTGTATTCGTTCATCATTTTATTCTGAGTCTAATAGGATGTGTTTCTAAGCATCTGTCAGTTCAGTACATGCTATCGAAATCTAATATTTCTTAACCCTTTGGTTTCAGTCACTGTTAGATATCTTCACCAAAACCATTAGTACTGTGAAATAGCTACTATTGCAATTGTAGTTTTGTAAGACTTTATCAATCTCCAATAAACTTTCCTGGCGTCACAGGATATGAAGGTAAAGGTTTTAAGTTCATTGTGCCTCGACTGGAACACAGTAATGCTATAAAGTTTAATGCTGCATAATATTTTCAGTTGAGATAAAAGAAAAGAACTTGTTTGTGGCGTGAACATTTCACTTCCACCGAGTGAAGCTGATTCAACACACAATCAGTAAATTCAGTTACAACTCTAGAAATAATTCACCTAATGATGTGATACAATTGACAAAACTTGGAAACTAATGTCAATAATGGTTAACTATCTATGCTATTCAGTAATTTATTATTCCTTTTTATCCACTAATATAATGCTCAGTATGGTGTTCCACCCATTTAAGGTTGGTCAAACCTTATCTAGTGAAGCCGGTGTTGCTTTTCTGGAATTGGATTCTGTGTTTTCAAGGCTTACAAACCCCCGGTCTTGGCGCGCGGGCATCGCACCAAAGGGCAAGTATAGTCTATATGCATACTGGTAATAAATAAGCTTTTGCTCACTCACTCCTTGGAGTACACATAGGTATACTTATCCTGTGAACAAATATACGTTACATGCATACTGGTAATGCACAAATTTCCACTCATGCAGCCCATAGCATACATATAGGTATATTCACCCGCATGCGAGGATAGATAGCAATATTTTTATTACTGCTTACTTTGCAATAATTACACTAATATTATGCATTATGCTATACGATACAGAAAGAAGGCAATTGTATATGTGATCCAAGTTATTATGGTTCATTTTGTCAATTCAATCAAACAACATGCAGTCAAGATCCATGTTTAGGAAATCTATCTAAATGTTATATAACACCAAATGAAACAAGAATAATTAACAATGAGCGATCAAATCAAATTGTAAAACAATTCAAATGTCAGTGTGAACAAGGGAAATTTGGTGAAAATTGTGAATATGATTTGGATGAGTGTTTATTGGAACCATGCCTAAATGGTAAGTTCGGTTTAGAATGTTCGACAAAGTTTTGTCATCTTTTGGTAGTGTATCAAATTTATCTTAACAATTTACATTTTTTAGTTCACTTTGGTTAAGCAAACATTGAGAAGTAGAAAGCACTGGCTATCTGTTTCGTTCTATAATTGAACTCTTCAACAGTATACGTCTATAACTCCATCGGGAATCGAACGCAAGACCTTCAGGTCTTACGATGAGCACTGAGCTTTCATATCAGTGAGCTGACATCCGATGATTTACATTTTTAACTTAAATCAATCCGTAATATTGCGCAGACATATTCCAATGCCAACAGTGGGTTACTGCCTCCCTCTCGACATGGATACACTCCATCGACCAATTCTTTATAAAATGAAGAACCTCTCTTCGCTCTCTCGGTCTGGATATTGTTTCACCACCCGTCAACGCAAGCTTAAAGTACACCGCGGTCAAACCAGAATTTTATAGTTTGAAATCTAGATTATTACCAAAATATAACTTGGATCTATCGTAGAACACAGTTGATCTTTCAACACTAGAAAAAATCAGTGTTAGGTCTGAAGACAAAAGTCTTAATGTGATTGTTGACGAGTTAGCGAAATCCATTCGTTAGGTCATTTAAAGGTGCATCATAACCAATCATGAATCAAGTTCAATTGGAGTTGACTAAGTACTTACTTACCTATGCCTGTTACCCCTCTTGAAGGAGTATAGGCCACCCACTAGGATTTTCCAATCAATTTTGTCCTGGGCGATCCTTTCCAGTTGTTTACGATTTCCATTCATCCCTTTGATGCCTGTCTCCAATTCCCGACAAAGTGTTTTCCTTGATCTTTCTCTTTCCCGTTTCCCTTCACAGTTCCAAGTTAGGGCTTGTCTCGTGATTTAGTTTGATGATTTCTATAATACATTTCCCATCCATCTCCATAGTCTTTTCCTAATTTCCTCTTCAGCCGGAAGTTGGTTTGTTAACTTCCACATTACGCTGTTGCTGATGATATCCGGTCAATGGACACTGAGTATCTTGTGTAGACAATTGTTTATAAATACTTGTACTTTTTTGATGACGGTTGTAATAGTTCTCCAAGTTTCAGCCTCGTAAAGTAGAACTATCTTGACATTCGAATTGAAGATTGTGACTTTGATATTGGCTGGCAGACAGTTGTTTTAAATCTGATATATTCTTCAGCTGTTGAAATGGTGTCCATGATTTGCTAATCCTTGCCTTTACGTCTGCATTAAATCCTCATTGTTCATCGATAATACTCTTCAGGTACGTGAAAGTTTCCATCACTTCCAGTGCTTCTCCATCAAGTGCAATTAGGTTGGTGTTCTCCGTACTATATTTGAGGATCTTTCTTTTACTCTTGTGCATGTTGAGGCCTACTGATGCAAAAGCTGCTGCTATACTGGCTATCTTGGCTTACATTTATTGGTGTGCATGGGCTAGAAGAACTAATTCATCTGTAAAATCCAAGTCTTCTGGCTGCACACAAGCCTTCGATTGTATTTCGTGCTTCCCCTGAAATGTAGAGGTCTTCATAACCCAGTCAAACACCAGAAGAAAAAGAGTGGACGAGAGTAAGCATCCTTGTCTGACTTCGGTAGTCACAGGGAATGCATCTGTCAGTTGTCTTCCATGCACGACCTTGCAGTGTAGTCCGTTATGTGAATTCCGTATGATGTTGACCATCTTTTCAGGTACTCTATAGTGTTCAAGGTTCCATAAGGCTTCCCTATCCACATTGTCAAATGCATTGTCATAGTCAAGGAAGTTGGTGTACAGTGACGAGTTCCATTCAACTGATAATTCAACGATGATCTGTAGTGTCGCGATTTGGCCCGTGCACGGCCGATCCTTTTGGAATCCATGCTGTTGATCTTAAACTTGGGAGTCTATTGAATCTTCTAGTAGGTTCCACAACACAGTTATAAACTCTTCCTGGTATCGGTAATATTGTGATACCTGTGCAGTTCTCACACTTACTCAGATCTTTTGTCTTTAGCATCTTGGTGAGGTTTCCTTCTTTCCAGTCTTTTGGCACTTGTTCTTTCTCCCAAATCTTTCTAAGTAGTGTGGAGCATAATTACGGATACTTTTATGTGTGACTTCACTGCTTCAACTGGTATGTTGTTTGGTCTGGTGTTTTGTGATTAAGTAACCAATGAATTTACCAAATATGTATTCTGTAAATGAACTTGCGGCACAAATTATTAACAGTCTATATAAAAAGTATTTGATCAATAATTTGCTCTAAAAACAGTTTAGTATTTAATGACAGTGAATTTGATCATTCTTACTGGACTTCTCTTAACATCTGTTCAATGAAAATGAACAAACAATATTTTATGCGTTGATTAAGAAAATATGGTAACAAATGAGGAATCAAATTATTTGATCTTATTGTCTTGTAAAAAAAAGTATTTTGCTTTTGGAAGAACGAATCTATGAATTGGAAAGTTGATACTTATCTATTGAATCATAAATATAAACAACTTCAGGTCCAGATAACACTATTATTACGCCATACATTAAAAATCAGCTCATAAATCCCAGTTTAAGAAAGATAAAGCAACACAGTTAACATGATCTGTTCGGTAGATAAAAGAACTAAGCTACTACTATAAGCAAAGATGGATAGTGGCTAGCAGTGGAATCCAGGACGCGCGTTTCGTCCTGTTTGGGACTCGTCGGCTGGATGTACCTGCGTCTCAGAGTTGATGTTCACTCTGGGACTCGAACTCAGTACCGTTCGTTTCAAACGCCATCGCGTTATCCACTTAGCTACTGAGTCCTGATAGCCACTTGCTTGTGCAATGGGTTGAAGTTGAATTCACTTGACATTGTTTTACTTGAATTTTCCCATTGATGTTTTTGGACTGAAATTGATCAGTCTCTTATTGGCATATGTGCATACTGTGCGTATGCCTCGATATTGCCTAAATTTACAAGCATTATAAGCAAAGATGGATAGTGGCTAGCAGTGGAATCCAGGACGCGCGTTTCGTCCTGTTTGGGACTCGTCAGCTGGATGTACCTGCATCTCAGAGTTGATGTTCACATCAATGGGAAAATTCAAGTAAAACAATGTCAAGTGAATTTAAGCTACTACTGTTGTTAAATATAAGCATAACTAAGCAAGCAACTTGTTCGATTGCAATCCAGTATACACCATCTTGATTAATATTGAACTTATTAGCTTGCCTTGGTTCAATTTTTAATTACACTGAAGCTATATGAAGACGATAAAAAATGAAACAAAACAGTTGAAGAGTATGACTTATGAGAATTTACAGGGATATTTAGGATAATCTAAATGAAGATGAAATATGTGCATTGGCACAACTGCGGATCAATTTCAAGGGAACAAGAATGATTGCATAAAATGAGGTTTGTATGAATTCAATTTACTTGTTGATTTGACACATTACGTATTTAAATATAATCACATTTTCTACTGGTCGGTTGGCTAATAATGAATTCCAGATAATAATACTAAGACTGCAGTCAATTTTAACTTTCTACTCAATAATTTAAATTGTAATCTTGCTACAGCTTTAATTTACTATCTGATATAAGTCCTTATTAAAGTTGAGTAGTGGTTAACGGCGGTATCCGGGACGAACATTTTCTCTTGTTTAGGACAAATCAGTTAAATGTGCCTGCACCTCGGTGTTGGTATTCATATTGAAACTCAGTTTTAATCCATAACAGAGACAATTGGAAAATATAAACCATTAAAAACAATATCCATACTCAATTCGTAAGCTAGTGGCTATCTGGATTCAGTAGCTCAATATAAAACGCAAAAGATTTTGGAGTATAAGGTATTGGGTTTGAGCCTCAGTGTGAGGATTAACACTAGGTTGGAGGTACCTTCCAAATAGGACGAGATATAAGTCGTGGATTCCACTGCTAGCCACTATCCAATTTCAATTATATGAGTCACAATTTAACAACTGACTTTTTTTTTAAATTTAGGTGGTCAATGTGTTGATTTGATAACCGGTTATCAATGTATATGTCCACCTCGTTTCACTGGTCCACAATGTCAATTTACATTAAAAGCATGTCAAAATAATTCATGCTCTAATGGTGGAGAATGTTTAGATGAATCAGTCAGTTTTCAGTGTCATTGTTTAAAAGGATGGAAAGGTAGAACATGTCGAGAGAATATTAATGAATGCTCTGAAATACCAAAACAAACTGGTCGTTCATTATGTCAAAATAATGCCGGTTGCCGTGATCTTTTAGGATCATATAAATGTTTATGTTCATCTGGATGGGAAGGAAAACATTGTGAAATGCGTAAATCAAATAAAACACAAAATAATTATCATTATCCATATCATTATTCTACTGATGATTGTCAATATGATAAAGATGTAAATAATTCAATAAGTGAAAATCGACTAAATCATCATAATAATGAATTTTTAATATTATTTATTATATTAACAATAGCTTTCCTTATAATGATACTTTCATTAAGTGGAGTAATTCTATTTTTTTGTACAAGTGATAAACATAAAAAAATGAAAAAATCTAAAAATATTTCTACATGTCAAATGATAAATACAAATCTATCAAAAACAATTAATCATTCAAATAGTATTAAAACAATAAAATCTAATTATCACCATAGTACATTATCTAATCAACAATTTGTTTATCCAATACAATATAAAAAACCAATTACAGATTGGCCTTATTTTCTTTATGTAAATAAATCAATTTCAGATCCAATTTATATGAATATTGAAAAGAATTCACATGAAATTGATCAGAATCAAATAAATTTCTCTTTTATTAAATCACCTCAATGTTATATCAAAAGAAATTTACATTTCAATCAAAATACTCAATTGAATTCATTACTAAAATCTAATAATATTGATAAATATTGTTTAAAGAAACAATTAAATTTAGTATTAAAAGAAGATCCAGATAAACACAATTCCAATGATAACAATCATAATAATAATAATAATAATCAATATTATGTTGATAATTATGATACTCATAACCATGACAACTTGAATCATTCATTACCATTATCATTAACAACATTTAATCAGCGATCGGATACACCACCTCCAACATATGAAATCTCAATTGGTTTAAATAAAATAGTGAAAAAGTGAACAGAAAGAAAAAAGTTATCCATAAGTCATAAGTGAAATTTATAAATATAGATTTTCACCAAGACAATCTTTTATTCTTATTGGAATATTATAGATAAATGAATGATAAGAGGTAAAATAACATTTACTATTACATGAGTATATTATATGTCGACTAGATTTAATATCTAAATCAATTGGTCTGTATAACATACATAAATATACTATGCATTTCTGAAACAAGTTTATTTTTAACTTGAGTCATTAAAAAAAATATAAGATTTGTTTGGGGGATAGTTTTAACATTAGATGTAAATGATAATATTATTTCATTGAATTTACATAGAAAAAAGAACTACTTGAATTACTCCAACTGATTCTACGATATTTTGATTAATGATGTAAAGAAGAAGAAGAAACAAAAAATACCACCATTTTGTTTTTCTTAGAAGCTGTAATAAACCACTTCTATTGAATATACTGAGTTTAATTTTCTTCTAAAGTTTGATAGTTTGTGTTATGGTGTGAGAACTATTAATTTGAACATTAGACCGTAAGTGATTTTGCAGCCAAATAATATTTATAACTCTGAAATAGTTTGTATGATTTATAGTTGTGTGGAATTTTTACATTATTATAGAAGATTGTTAGAAAAAAGATAATGTTACTTATTTATCAGTAGGGCATAATTTGGTAGAAGTAGTAGTAGTATGTATGTATGTATTTTCTGAATTGAGCGACCTTACTATCTTGGATCTTCACAGATGTATTCTAAATCGTTACAAGAAAAACTTTTATACTTCAAAAGGCTATGTAAAAGACAGCACGAATTATGCGGGTTGATCAGCGATGAAATTCACCATACTTTTTCATTACGTTCAGCTCATTTATCAGGTATAAATTCGTGTATTGAGCCATATTCCAAGTATAACGGCTATTATTGAAACTAGCATTTAAACAAATGACAAAATAAATCAGATAGAAAAATTTGAGCATGACTACAAACCATTAAACGTTTGTATAAACTAAACTAGGTTTTATTCATACAACCACGCATTCTAACGCAAATCAATAGGATAATCACAATCATAAGCTTCCTAGTTATTAACTTTACAGACAGCCGTTCAGTCATTCAGCCACAACTTAGAACCTGGTGTGTATGTACATCGGTTCACGTTACCATACCTCATTAGCACAGAGAGATAAAGTTGTCAGGCCAAATTCCAGTATAGTACAGGTAGTCACAGTATCAGTGGTAATAGTAAAAGTTTAGGATGGAAGATACTTTTCGAAAAGAAGATACAAATTCGTGGGGCAAAAAACAAAGAGAGGGTGTAAGGAATTAAAAACCTCAGAATTCGAGGGAAGACAAAGAATGGTTGCGCGTGCGCCACTGCAAACAATTATGGGCCATGTCGTTCAAGGTCGCTAACCATTGGTCACGATAGTTACGCGGACCTCAACCGGGTAGTCTATGTCTACTAACATGGCTAAGTCCAATTACCAATGACTTCAGTGACTGGTGCCATGTCTTGGTTTGGCCGCCCTTAGCTTTCGTCCAACCTACTCGTGTATCAGAAAAATCATCGCTCGTCAAGACAGGTGGTGGTTGAGTATACGTAACATATCTAAACCACCTCAGCTGATGAATACCTACTACCTCATCAATCGACTTCCCATCCTTGTACCTAGTACTCTATTCCCAACTCAGACATTACTCACTCTGTAGTCCCAAAATACACGAGCAATGCTTCGTAGACACCTACGATTGAATATCAGTAACCTACGAATATCCGCTATTCTTAATGGTCATGTTTCACATCCAGAAAGTAGGACGGAGTGAACTGCTGCTCAGTAAAGTCGCCCTTTGGTTGGAAGATAGATATCTCACCTGCACCACAAGTGACGCAAGTTGGCAAAAGCCAGTCGAACCTTCAGAATCCATGTCGAGATTTCGTCAGATATCAGACCATCAATACTGATGAGACGATACGTTTAGCTACTTCACTATCTATCATTAATTCAGGTGGTGACGCAAGCCAAGTGTGAAGTAACATTTTCCATTTGGAGGAAGATAACCGCACCCCAAACATAGTTGGATTGTTGCTTAAGGTCGTCACAAGTCCTCATTTTGTCAGCATTTCATCAACAGAATTATATCATCTGTGTATTCTGAGTACTCGGTGTTGGTTTGAGGGTTAGTGGTATTGACCTTCCACCCAAACCAAAGTAGAACAGGTCTTGATCATTAACCGAACAATTTTACTACTAAGCCGTTAATCTAAGAAAACGACTACGTAGGTATTTATACATGGTATGTCAAGTGCTTCCTGTCATTTAATTTATGATATGAAGAGAGCGGATAACCCTAATGAACACCACTTGAAGTGCCCGATTCCGGTGACCATTCTCTGTGCACTCTAACTCGACCAGTAGTGTTCGAGTAGAGGGCATTTATAAGGTTAATGAACTTATTTGGTATGCCTTTCAATGACAGACTGCCACAGAACCTCACGACTAATGGAGTCGAACACCACCTTAATGTCAAGGAATACAACCATAGAGGGACGTCGAAAAGTATGTCTATCTTCCAGAATCTGCCGAAGGGTGAATATTTGATCTATACATTCACATCGAGGTCTGAAACTAGCCTGGTTTTCTTGAGTTCGCGCTCCACGAGCTCTGGTTAGACGTCGAAGTATTGGTGAGGCTAATATTCTAGTCACTAGTAGTTGGACGTATTGCTCTGTGATTGTCGTAAAAGGGTGTTTGTTCTGTTTTATAAACTGGAATGATCAGCGATCGAGACCAGTCAGATGGGTTACGTCCAGTCCAGAGATTTTAACTAAGATTTCAGTTAATCTGACTGCTAAAACTGGGCTACCATCCTCAAAAATCTCAGGGACTAGTCCATCAGACCATGCTACTCTCTCTCTCACATAAGTTTACTTATAGCCTTTACAATCTCACTAAGAGTTGGAGGACGTGCATCAGTTTGCCATTCATGTAGCTTGGTGATAATAAGCAACTGAACTATGGCTGAAGGCTCACGATTATTATGTAGGCTTTTTATTAGCCTACGCTCGAATTGCCTCCACTCCTCGTCGTGTTCAGCAGCCAGGAGAGATGAGTTTCCGAGCACCTATCAGTTTTGTAGACGCCGCTGAAATTTGCTGATTTTTTCTTAACCTTTTGGTCCAAGTTAGTAGTTTTTATCACTGCTATTTCAAAGTTTTTGGATATCGTATCAAGCTATCATAGGATAAGTATCACTTCTACGGGTAACTCCTCTAGTAGTTCCTGAAATATATTTCCAACTTTTTCATCAAGTTGATTTCTAAGAGGTTTCGTTGCTGTGGTCTTTCTATGGCCTGTAAGACGCAAACAATTATGTGCTCGAACTAGAGCATTGTCAGAGTCTACACACGTGATCCTTAGTGAGACAGTCTTCTAGCGAGCCCGTCTAATGATGGCTAAACGCAATGTTATCTATTTGAGTCCATCGATCAGTCGATGGTCGCTACGTCAGACGATGTTTCTCCCTATGTTCAAAGTTGGTTTACCAGAAATAGACGATTATTTGAGCATCGTTGTAACAGACGGTCACCATTATCTGTTCGCTGAACATCAACACCGTAGTAACCACCCAAATGCCTTTCAGTTTGATTTAGTTTACCTATTCGAACACCGAAATTACACGCCACTATCGCTAAATCAGAGAGTTCAGCTTTTTGAAGGAGGTTGGATAATTTCCCATAAAATTTATCTTTAACTTCAATTGAGCCGCAGTGGGAACGTAGGCAGAAACAACGAAAAGAAAACGGTGCGTCCCTATAATTTTGAGTTTTCACAGTCCTGTTTATTAGGATAAAGCACAAGCGACTGTCTGTTGAGAACCAGTCTAACATACTCCGTCCAGCTCTCGAACTCATACCCACGCCAGCGCGGACGCAGGAAGTAGTAGTGTAGTCTCCAGATACTCGAAGGAGAGTTCTCAAAATTGTAGTGAAAAAGTGCGATCGGTAGAGTTTGACCATCTCGAAAGAGAAATAAGACAGCTACTCATTAATAGTATTGAGTGATTATCTCTATTTATCATGAATTGACTGGTGTTGGGAATGTGAACGTACGGATTTTGACATCGATAGGTCTGGGTAAGATGAGCTCATCATACATGGTTGTTCAGGATTCAATTGTATTTTTAGCGTAAAAGCGCCCATTACTGATAAGTCCGACAAAAAAATCTGGGATGAAATAGCTGTTTAATGCTTTTTGGGTTTCACTGCTTACCAGTGCTGGTTTTAATTGGATAAAAATGAATTCCAAGAGTTTACATGTCCATTTATTTGTTTATCAGATATGAGGTAGAAATTTTTAAGATTTTTTATGTAAAGTATGGTTATTTTTCACGTACAAACTAAATTGCTTATTTATTTACAGTATATATACAGTAGGTAACAAAATAATGAGTTAAACACGATTTATAAACCTGTTGTTGATCTAAATACAGTGATTACTATTAGAAACTGTTATTTTGAAGTATTTTCACATTTAAACTCATTCGCATACATTATACATTACACCAAGTTACAGTAAAATAAACAAACGAGAAAAAAAAGCAAAACCGTATTTCTGCTTTAATAAACGTTCTGTAACCGACAAAAAAGTTCATTTGAATGAATTATTATTTACAAGAATAGAAATTCCATTACATGTTGCAATAATTTTTACATTTGTGCATATTCCATGAGTAAACGACGACCTAATAAATGCGTAGCTACGCCCAATGTCTCCAATGCAATCTAAATAAAGGGACAAACAGATGACATCGTATCATAATATAATCTAGTTGATTGATAATATGTTCCACATGAACGAATAAGTTATTCATTGAGGAATACTTTACTTTTACTGCGCACTTACTACAAGACCTAATGGAGAACATGAGGTTGACCTTTCGCTTGGTCGTATCAAGGAGTTTCATGATAGGACGAAACAGCTGCTACCTGGTTGCTAAGGATCTTCTTGTTGAAGTTAGTTCTGTTATAAATTCAACTTTAATATGGGTATTGAATAAGATTAATAAATGAATGTGTTCACTAGTGATAAGTCCGCTTTACTCTAACTATACTGGTGACCCTAGCTTTATTAACATGGTAATTAAGTATGTTGGCACTGATAAACAGAAACAAATCTCTACTCCCCCAGCGTATTCAATCAAGACACGACCACAATAAACTGATTTACTCACTGTATGTTATTATGACTAAAAAAACTCCCATTATACCATACACCAATTACAAGACAACGCACTACAAATAAGTAGCAGCAATTTATACGTGACTGGGTCATTCGTGATACAAGCTGAGTAAGAGGGATAATTTATCAGCTCTTTGTGAGTGGCAAAACACATTGACACTGCCCCCTGATACCCTGGTACGACCCAGGGTGGGAGAGCCAGCTCTCCCTCTCGAAATGCTCTCACACGGTAACGTGTATACAACCACTGTCAGAGTAGTCCTACTCACTGGCTTCTCGTGGTCCAGGTGTTGTTTATGAAAGGGAGAGGACGAAAAGCGAATGTCCAGTACATTAACCAGGTTAGTGGATATGGAGGATCCACCTAGGACAATGGGAAAACCCTGATTCTAAACTAGTGGTGAACATGGGCTCCAGGATCCTAAGGAAACAGATGGCGTATGAACATACTGTTGGTCACCGACTACCATGGGACTGCATCTCCTAACGTTGCTCCACTGTCTTGTGGATAAGACCTCTAAGTCAAAGGTTCAGGGTGTGGTCCTATAAGGAAATTACTTGCTTCCATTTGGGTGGCAGGGAAGTATTCCAGCCCTGACACAAATCGAATGACGAAGTGTGGCGCATATATATTAGGTGCCTCCTTGTACCAATGTTTGTGTTTAAATAAATAAATACCAATCAGTTAACTGAGAGCATACAATTAGGGCAATATAAAAATATCATAAACCAAATATTTATCAAACATGCAATCGGCATACATACAATAATGCATCATAGAATAACCTTTGTAGTTCTGTTTTCCACTTATACATTTATAACAATTTCATGATAGTAATATCAGTTCTGAGGAAGACAGAGTCCTGACTATTGCAGATCTTATTAGACTTGAACCAAAGTGCACTGATCAGTGCTACTAGGCGAATCGAGAAAATGCTAGATTTTTGTTTCAATTGTATATAAAATCTACCCTTTTACTATAGCATTTTTGTTGTTTGGAGTTATTGGAGCAAGCATTGTTCGCTCTCAGTTCTTGTTCTGAATTGGGCCGAATCCAGTAAAGTATGACGCTTAAGGAATACTACGTACTAGAAGAAAATCATAGTTGGAGTAAAATTTGGAACCAAGTTATTCTAAACAACTCCCACACATTAGTTTGAGATACATGCATAGCGTTGCTACTACTTCTCTTAGGTTTTATTTAGCTAACATTAAACTGGTTGAAGTTAGACATATAAACTATTGGATCTCGGCTCAGTAGTCTAGATGTTAAGGGTTTCCGTGAGAGATTGAAGGGTCTAGGTTCTATTCCCAATGGGATGGGTGGATGCACGCTGCTAAATAGTCATATCCTAGGACAAAACAACTGTTCACCGCTTCTTCGTTTCCAATGTATATTGAACTAAAATTAATTCATGATATCCAGAGAATCTAACAACCACCACCTCCGAAATACTAACTTTTGCTTTGTCCATTGTGTCGAATTCAACGAATGCAAACCCACGATGTCCGCTAGTTGGTTTTTTTGGTAATCGAACATTGACAAGACCACCAATAGGTTGAAATAACTCAATCAATTCTTTTTGTGTAGCTTGAAATGGAATATTACGTACAATTAAAATTTTGTTCTTTTTCAACTGTTTTGATGGTATTGATTTTTTAATATTAATTTCCTCTTTGTGTTGTTCGTTAATATTAGTAGTAGTATCACATTTATTTATCCTATTTTCATTATTTGAGTGTAGTTGATTGACACATTCAACGTTAACATCGTTGGTGAATTTTACTTTTTTACTTTTATGTCCCATAAATTTGTCGATTAGTTCCAATTCACTTGATTTATTGTTAGCTATTTGTTCAATCTTTTGTTTTTTATTTAAATATTTTTTAACTCGTTGAGATTTTGATATTTGATATGAAATGTTTTCATTGTCATGGTGAGATGAGTGATCCATAACTGCTACTGTATCTTCATCATCATGATCATCTCTGAACTTGCGTTTATCAGTTGGAATGGATGTGATCAGTTCAAATTCATCGTCAGATTGCCTAGGATGAGGAAATGAAGTGGAAAAGTTAATCAACATTATGATGTCGATTGGTAAAAATAAATAAATGATAACAGTGTAGTTTAAATCATAAACTGACCGTAGCTAAACAACTACTGGAAAACAGAAAGCACTGGACAGGTGTTTCGTCGTAGTATGGAACTCCTCAGCACAGTGCATTAGAGACCTCTGGTAAGATGCCTTGACTATTGGAGTTCACCCATTTCCAAAGTGAAGCAATTACTATGTAACAGTTTTGGAAAATGGATACGCAATATAACGAATTAACTGAGGTCAAAACGTAAGTCACTGGATGCAAACTTTGTAGGCGCTCGCTGCGAGACCTGAAGGTGTTGAGTTCGATCTCCGGCGGGCGACAACTATGTCTGGTGAGGCCCATACTAGGACAAAAAGATAGCCAGTGCCTTCTATTTTTAGACAGTTTTCTAATGTCACTTCGTGATATAACCCGTAAAATTCAATCATTTCCAAAAACCCCTTACATAATTGATACGAATTTAACTGACTTATTTTCAATACGAAGCTTTGTGTACACGGATTCGGGAAAAGCTTCAGTTTTACGAGGGTTAGTACTACTACTACTGTCAGACTTAATTAGGTGACGACAGGACTGAACCTGCAATTCGACATTCGGCAGTATAACAACTTGACTGATTCTTGAAAAAAAATTGAGTTCAGAAATTCATTTATATATCTTATATATGCAGCAAGTCAATCAACAAAAAACAACTCACTCTATTTTTTTAACCTTATCAACAGATGGTTTCTCATGTTTCGTCCTTTTCGGTTTATGTGTGGAAGCTTCTTCGGATTTTATTTCCTCATATTCATTATTATCAGGAGTGGATGATTTCAGAGCCCCATCTGGTAACCACTGTAGAAACAGAACACTATCTCTAAACTAAAAAGGGGAATATAAAGTGAAATTTACATGGAATTATCTAAAAGTTCTACAACTTCTGTCAGAAAACTGAAAATGATCTAACTGATAGAAAAAAATTATTATATGAACTTAAATATATTACTTCCAAATGATGAGTGATCATTACGTTTACTTTTAATTCTTAAGCAGCCGGTATGACTGGACTTTGTGAAAAAAGTTACCTACGAAATAAAGTCAATAAAACTGTCGCTTACGAAGGGGTTTTGTAAATGTTATGAACTATCCAGTATTAAATCAATATTTTTCTGCTTTGATATTCAGATCAAGACCTTTATCAAAAATTCTACTATATAAAAGAAAATTGGTTTAGTAATCGACTTCCAATCAATAATTTGTCTCACGTTCAAGTTCGAATTCCACCTAAATTGCTTTGGATTGCTGAGTAGTATTATTGCTAATCATTACATAAACAGTGTGGTTCACGTCTGAGTATACTAGCAGACTAGGTAAATATAGGTATATTATGTACCTGAGCTTATATGATATCTCAGGACCAAACAGTGGTCGGGAAATTATAAATGAGATACAATATGATAGGAAATTGATTAAACTCCCATTCAAGATCCTGGCTTGTGTTATTTTCTTGGTAAGGACAAATGTATATAAATCAATGATTTGTGTACCCACTCATTCGGTTTTTTCAGTCATAAACTAATAGAAATTCCTCATTCTCACTTTTGTCGCTAGGTGAACAAGCGTGAAGAAAGAGTTTGTATCTGAATCAGACTTGACACATCATAGCACACCTAAAACTTCAATTGATAAATGCGTTACTTGTATAAAACAGGGGAATTGATCAACCTGGGTTATTCTAACTAATAACTTTCTCACTTTACAAAAATTCTGATCGGCCACCAAAGTACTTAAAAGACTCAACTACATTAGTTAGTGCAAAAAAATTCAGGTAGTAACTGTCAGGTATTGTGGTGCAAAGTTTGGTAGTCCAGAAAGTTTGCAATTAAATGGTTAATGTAATAACGCGCAGCGTCTGAGATCGATACTGATACACAAACTTCCTACACGCAAGCCACCAACCAACTGTGAATCGAGTGAAAAAACTAAGAATGGAGAAGGAAGTTTATGAGCTGAACCGATTTATATGCATAACCACTGATATATATATATAAAAACTCCCTCTGTAGCCCATCTAGGGTTACTCCAGGTTTCAAGCCCAGATAAACGAAGAGGGTTGAAACTAAGATCAGCAACGGCATCCCGCGAAAAAAACCTTGCTAAAAAAACGCTAAACAGAAAAAAACTACTTGAATCATTAAAGCTCTACCCTCCGAGTTGAAAGATCTTCATTTCGAAGAATTATGGAGCCTCATGGTGAAATCCGTGATTCTTTGGAAGCCACAAGGTCGATGCCCTTTCTAACAACCAGAGCAACAATTCATATAGGTACACGGAGTATCCGGACAGTGTAGGAGACTGGGAGGACCAAATAAACAGCTGTGAAAATGAGGGAATCGATTGAACTAAGTGGCTATACGTGACACTATATTCCCCCCCCACAAACCCATACAAAAAGCTATGTGTTTGATCCGATCACACTACACAGAACTAAATTGATAATATTTGCATCAACAACAAAATCCAGTAGGTCAATGGAAGACGTGAGAACCAGGAGAGTAGCTGACATCACTTCAGATCACCATCTGGTGGTTGCCAAGATGAACTCGAAGGTAGAGAAGCACCGGACAACTAGAGAAGCAACATTGAAGAGGTTCAATACAGCCTTCTTCTGAGATACTGACGAACTCGAAGAATTCAAAATAGCGTTCATCAACAGCTTCCAAATCTTACAAGATCTGCTCAAAGAAGAAGAAGCTATTATGGGGAACAACTGGGAAGGTATCAAAGAAGCACTAATTTCAAAGTAACATATGCTGAGAGCCACAAGAAACACCTTCATAAAGAATGGATCTTTATCGATATCCTGGTCAGTCTTCAAGACAGGAAAAACAAGGAGACAGCAATTAACAACAACTGAAACAAGAGCAGATAGAGTAAAATCACAGGCAACATACGCAGAAAATACAATAGAGTGATGGGGAGAATTAGAGCCGACAAGCAGAAATAAGTGGGACACTAAGAAATGACAGTAGAAAAAGATTCAAGAGAAGAACATTCCAGACAAATATATGATACAACGAAGAAACTGGTAGGGAAATATGGTAAACCAGAGATCAGTCAGAAACAAAGAAGGCCAATTAATCACTGAGATTCAAGAACAGTGGACAAGCGGGTAGAGCACTTTGAAGAACTCTTGAATAGATCAGCCCTAGTGACCCCCCTCCAGATATCGAAACAGCACACACAAACCTCCCAATACATCACTCTATAAACAGTCAAAACAGACAAATCAACAGTAGGACCAAACAACGCACCAACTCAAGCACTGGAGTCAGACATAGAAGTAACTGCAAATATGCTCTACATCATATTCAGGAAGATTTAGGAGGAGGAACGAGTCCCGACATACTGGAAAGAAGGACATCTCATCAGGATAACAAAGAAAGGAGATATCAGCAAGTGTGAGAACTACAGAGGAAACAACTGGAAGGGATTGTCGAAGAAAGAGTTCAATGGAGAATCCTGGTGGGTGGCCTATGCTTCTCCAAAAGAGATAAAAGGCGTAAGTTAATTAAAAAATAACATACCGGTTCATATGCAAGTGCTTTGTACATCAACCGAGCTTGTTGAGAATGGGCATATTCTACAATAGCAGTAATGCCTAAAGGGGGTACTAGAACACGTTTTAATCCGGAACGAATTGAAGGAGTGTTAGCATCAACAGTTACAGAGCTTTTTGTATACCGTTTAAGCAAATCTCTAACTTCAAACTCAGTTGTTCCAGCTGGTAGATTTTTTATTAAAAATGCAGTTCCTGATAATTGACGAATAGTTGATCTTGACTTTGATTCTAAACGACTACGTTGACCTGATGTTTCGTGAACAACAACGGAATTATCTTCTGTTTCTTTCACCTCAGTCTCATCATTGTGCTTTTCGAAAGCTTCCAATCGTACACCATGAGTTTTTAAAAATTCTTTCATTTCAGCAACTAACTGTGTCTCACCATGTGCCAATCGTACAGCAACTGACTTATTTCCTGATGGATCTAAAACTTGTTCCTTAAAAGAAGAATAAATAACAAATTCATGTTAGTGTTTGATTTAGAATGACAAGTGTGATCTTTTGTGGAATTAATGTGCACAGAAATAGGATTACAATATCAGAGTGTGAATATAACAAAAATTACATCCCTTGAAAAGTATTAAGTAGCCATGCAAATTTATTAGGTGCTCGGGGATAGTCAGCACGGAACGCCGAACCCGCGTTTTGCGCTAGTTCGCACCCTTCATTAAGGCGTTCTTGAAATACTCAAGGAACTTATGTTCCATGTGGAGTTCGAATCAGGACCACCCAAGTTTTCAGTCGGAAGAGTTACGACTGAGTTACTAGCACCTCGACTGAGATATCTACAGTTGATTGATCGCTGAGTTGTGACCAATGCTACCTTTCTTTAGCCCTTTAGTGCTGATTGAATTCAAGTCATAATGTGATCACCAGTTTAAGTAGCTCAACATATGCTAAACTGTAGAAAATGAATCATTAACTAATGTATTTTCGACAGAAGTAAAGTATATGGTCGACCTTGAGCGATGTTTTGGTCAGTCAAATAGGGAGTTTTTATTTATAAAAGTATTTAAAACAAAAAATGATAAAATTACAAGAGATCACGAGTTTTGACATGAGTAGTCAACTTTTTCATTCAAATAACCACTTACAGTAAAGGAAGAAAAGTTAGGGTGTTCACATCAAACTGACATCAGCTAGGATGAAGGGGTTAAAGTTACAAGTTTGGCTACAAAACATTCCTCCTTTATAACCACATAGATTAACAAAACTTGCACAATCTTAAACTTTAATGTTTTTTAATAAAGTGATGTCACAGTGAAAACGTTTAGTTTACTTCAAAAATCCTGTATGTTGTGTATTTTAGGTACATTGGTTTGTATTGTTTTTTCTCCTAAAAAACCAGTAAATCTTCCTCTACAGTTCTAAAAATCGAGTAGATCAATTCCTAGTCTTTAATCTTGTTATGTTTGTCAGCTTTCAGCACGTAAATAGCAAAACATTCATACATTTTGTTGAATTGTTACATAGCTCATTACAACTTCAAAGTTGTTAGTAATTGGATTTTGAAGTACGCAATAAGATGGAATAATCACTATTCTTAATCTGCCTGGCTCGTTTATACACTTTACATTTCTCGTGTTTCCTAAAGGACTTTACAATCAGTGTAGAACAATTAAATAGTTCATTACATTAGTTAAATTTGTTGATTACAACAGTTGGATTTTATGATACTATAAATTGTCTTCATACACTCAAATTGTTTATTAATTAATATCAAGCGCTACTCCGTATAATTTGTTCAATATGTGACTATTAATAGATCTGAAAAATCGCACAAAAATCAGCGTATTCATAAATAGTTCTCGATCGATTTTTGGTGTCAAATAAATCTTCAGTTATCTTTTCTTTTGTATCCAGCATTGTCAATTCTCTGTTGAATAAATAACAATACCATGAATAAGTGAACGGTTAAGAAGTACTGAAAACTTTAGGCGTAGAGGGGTAAATTCAAACTAGCATTCACTAATAAATCGAAAGATTTATACTGAATTTATTGATTGAGAATGGTACTTTGTATTCTGATAATCGCCGTAGAGTTCAGAAATTATTTGAAAGCTATTACTCATCAAAATAAAGCTTTTACCATAGTCAAACCAAATTTCGCAGCTAAATATGTAGCAACAGCATCTGGACGAATAATAAAGCATTCCAATTATGTCCAACGCTTGAATCCTTTTTCAATTCTTGAAATCGATCGTTTTGAAAGCTTGATAGAAGCATCTTTGGTGGATCAGCGAAATTCTCATTTCTATAAAAATTGTTTAGAGGCTTTCTAAATGAGTCCTTAGGTTCTGTGTTTTCTTGACCAGGGAGGATGTGAATTAGCCTGTCCTAGATGTAAAAATATAACAATAATTTAAAACACAGTTAACAATACTCCATTGACACTGACAAACATCGAATAGTGAGATACATACGTAATTTTAGAATAACTAGTTAGTTAACAATTACATGTTTATCAAAATGAAAACTTGTTAAATAATTGTCCTACAAACACACCAGGTAAAAATGAAGTGCAAAGATTAGTGGTTATTAAATGGTTGGAGTAAATTTATATTATATGTCGTAAGCTTAATTCATTATCAGAAGTCTGGTTCTCAAACCACATGAGAAGGTTAAACATACTAAAGTATTATGGTTTCATATCAGATGGGTTTTTGTGGATTGTAGTAATTTCAATGGTTAAGATCATGAGTCAATTGGTTTCATACGATTTACAGTGGAAAACCACCACTAAAAAAATTCCGTAAGTTCTTTTAACACAAGATAATGAAAATATTAGTAAATTAATTTCAATAAATTAACCTACCAATATATATATATATATATATATATATATATATATATATAGGTGCTTCCTAGAATCGTGAGATTAGTAAGTTATGTAAACAACGGATGCTCCTGCTACTAATTGGATCTGTTGGATAACCTAGACGAAAGTGATTGCACCTGACCTTGGTGATATCGAAGGATTCCCCAAAAATCTTTCTCGGAACTCAAGATTTGTAGTTCCATATTTGACTGCTCTCTGCATGAGCATTACATTCTTAATTAATTTACTGTGACCTCATCCTGCAAGATTCAAAATTAGCTTAAAATATATCGTATGCCATTCTACTTTTTCCAATGTTTACTGAAACCTACGTTCAGTGTAGTTGAGTCAGAATCTTACTTTAACAATTTTCCGTTGAGGAATCCATTATAATGGTAGATCTTGGTAGCTAAAGGACAAGTGTTCGTAGTGAATTTCGGAAACAGTAATACTTACAAAAACTACTTGAGAAGCTAAAGTGAAGACGATAAACCAACAAAGCAATTTTTGAAAAACCTGTATGCTTTTAAATGTGATTGTAGGGTTTTAGAAGGAATGCCTGTCAAATGATCCACATGCTACAGGAATCTTAAGACATACCAAATAACACTGTTAGGGTTCGAATTGGCTGGGATATACGTTATGTATACCCAACCACATCATACTTCGACTCGGAATGTTGGATGGACGTTGGTAGGAGACCAAATCACCACGTAATATCAATCCACGAGATCAACGACTGCTGGAGGATGCAGATACAATCAGGAATTAAGAAAGCCAGGTGATACGGTTTACAACCGATCGCATTGGTAGAGAAGCGTTTACTTCTTATTTCCCCTTGTATTTTTAGGGGTATATTCTTCGGCACATGTCTTCTTTTTGAATATTCTCAATGTTTAGTTCTACTGCCAATTACTGATATTAATGTCACTCCGAGTCCTATGCTACTTATTCTGATAATTTCACCTCACGTCAATGTAGTATGGCAACTTTAGTCAATGCATATTTGTAGCAGAGTTTATATTGATAATGAAGACCTGTTTTCAGCTGAGCTGCAGAATTGTACTCAGTAATATAGTAGGTTTGACACTTTCGAAAACACTATAACGCTAGCAGAATCAGGATGGAAAGCCAAACTGACTAGGACATTTACAGAAAAGATTATTAGTTTGAGGGACGACTAAATGATTGACAAACTAACTACTGAAATAAGAGCTAAAAAAACGAAAACTGACCGACTTATTTAAATTCAATGCCTAAAGCCGAAATACATGAATTTAATGAAGTCTAACGGTTGCACTTTGTTTCAGAGGGTTTAAATATTTTGTAACTTAGCGACATACAACACAGACCGATAAGCAAGACAACCGTATTTTAACCATAAAATATGTAACTTAGAATGTTAGTGACAAACATGATGGTCTAGATACATTTCTTATTATTAAATATGATTATTTTAGCCAACGATCTGAATAATTGCAAGAGTAGTGTTCTTCAAAATTGTATTTCTTCGGTTAAATTTTCCTGTTGAAATTTATAAACATGCTATGGCATTTCAGTTATACCTTGGCGACTCGTCAATTTATGCAGTTTTTCGCATCATAAGCCTCTTTACTTTGTAAATTCAACTAATTTTGACTAATATAGGATTGTCAGTAACACAAAGTTCCAGATTAAATTAATTTACATACTGTAGTACCTAAATTAACTAGGTAAAGAGACTTCCAGTGCTCACAATAACATTCAAATAAAATTAGGATTACAGACCATATATAAATTTGTATAGTATCTTGAGTTACTTGTGGACTCCTAAAAAATTTAGGATGCACTTTATGCTACCAAAAAGTGAAAATTTACTTCTGCGTTGGGTCCTTACAAAAAGTAAGCAATATTGGTTCATATCATAAATTAAATGACAGGAAGCACTTGACATACCATGTATAAATACCTACGTAGTCGTTTTCTTAGATTAACGGCTTAGTAGTAAAATTGTTCGGTTAATGATCAAGACCTGTTCTACTTTGGTTTGGGTGGAAGGTCAATACCACTAACCCTCAAACCAACACCGAGTACTCAGAATACACAGATGATATAATTCTGTTGATGAAATGCTGACAAAATGAGGACTTGTGACGACCTTAAGCAACAATCCAACTATGTTTGGGGTGCGGTTATCTTCCTCCAAATGGAAAATGTTACTTCACACTTGGCTTGCGTCACCACCTGAATTAATGATAGATAGTGAAGTAGCTAAACGTATCGTCTCATCAGTATTGATGGTCTGATATCTGACGAAATCTCGACATGGATTCTGAAGGTTCGACTGGCTTTTGCCAACTTGCGTCACTTGTGGTGCAGGTGAGATATCTATCTTCCAACCAAAGGGCGACTTTACTGAGCAGCAGTTCACTCCGTCCTACTTTCTGGATGTGAAACATGACCATTAAGAATAGCGGATATTCGTAGGTTACTGATATTCAATCGTAGGTGTCTACGAAGCATTGCTCGTGTATTTTGGGACTACAGAGTGAGTAATGTCTGAGTTGGGAATAGAGTACTAGGTACAAGGATGGGAAGTCGATTGATGAGGTAGTAGGTATTCATCAGCTGAGGTGGTTTAGATATGTTACGTATACTCAACCACCACCTGTCTTGACGAGCGATGATTTTTCTGATACACGAGTAGGTTGGACGAAAGCTAAGGGCGGCCAAACCAAGACATGGCACCAGTCACTGAAGTCATTGGTAATTGGACTTAGCCATGTTAGTAGACATAGACTACCCGGTTGAGGTCCGCGTAACTATCGTGACCAATGGTTAGCGACCTTGAACGACATGGCCCATAATTGTTTGCAGTGGCGCACGCGCAACCATTCTTTGTCTTCCCTCGAATTCTGAGGTTTTTAATTCCTTACACCCTCTCTTTGTTTTTTGCCCCACGAATTTGTATCTTCTTTTCGAAAAGTATCTTCCATCCTAAACTTTTACTATTACCACTGATACTGTGACTACCTGTACTATACTGGAATTTGGCCTGACAACTTTATCTCTCTGTGCTAATGAGGTATGGTAACGTGAACCGATGTACATACACACCAGGTTCTAAGTTGGCTGACATGTATTTACTAGATTGCATGCATTCGAAAGGTCACTGCAAGATAGAACTTGAATATTTGGCAAACATTGCAGGCCAGTGGTAGCCATTTATGATTTTGGTAAAGCACCAGATATTTTTGACGAGCAGAGTTTTATAAACCCATCATATATTTCAATATTTGGTATCTGCAAAACTCCAGAGGAAGTTAACTGCAGTGATATATTGTTACCATACATGTGGAAATCGATCGCAAAAGAATCATGTTAAAATGAACAACGCTTAAACATTTTTAAAATTATGTAAAAAGTATAATAAGTATACCGAACTACTCACCATAAACTTTGTTTTATCTAGTGATTTGTAGGCTTTTACAGCGTCAGATGGGAACAGGAAAGTGATGAACGCAAACCCCTTGGACACTTGAGACCAATGGTCGAAAGCTAAGTGAATGTCTGATAGGGATCCTAGAAATATATGACAGTCCGATTCAATAAGGACTAACCATGAACAGAAAATAACTTTTCAAGGTCTTGTTCAGTACAGGCATAAGACAGATTACGGACAAATAACCGGCCGGTCTAGAATGCAATAAAAAAGTGGCAAAACTTACCTCTAATATTTCAGATACTATTTCGTCATTTGTCTTAACTAACCACTTAGGTAGATCAGGTTCTTGTACATAGGACGTTTCATTCTCTTCTTGAATGTGTTCCTCAATCTTGACTGCCCTTCCACTTATGTCGCCCTTCTTCTTGAGTGCTTCATTCAAGTCCTGGTGATTCTTAAAAAACACCAAACCGATACCTATTCAAATAAATATTGAAGAAAAAACACATGTGCACCATTTTTCAGAACCCTGAAGTCTTTTATCCTAATCGGTTTGAAGAATCGTTTGACATTTTTCTGAAAACTGTTAGATATGCCGATCATATAATTACAATTTTCACTTCACGACTGAAACCTTTTATTTTCGCAATATACGCAACACGCTTCCGTATCATAGTAACGCAATATACAAGCTATGCGCCAGATGTACAAATTCTCAATTCTACTTACGTATAAGTCAAAAACTATAAGGAGTTAATAATTGAAAATCAGGTTGGATCTGTTCATTTGAATGAATGATATGGATAATTTCACCTTAGATGGCTCACTTCTACTTGTTTCGGTACGTCACATTTTTTAAATGCTATACTACAGACTTAAAGTACGCTACTAACAAGTTACTCTGTTAACTCTTCAAAACTACCACATTACTACACTGTGGAGTCAAGAACAAAAATAATTCCGTGTGTTATCGGACATACTATGACATCCTTTGTTTGCAGTAAGATCAGTCATTTTTTACTAGTCTGAAAAACAGGAGTGATGTATTTCGTGTAGGTGGGCGACATTACTATTTTAATGACTTGCCAAGGTCTGTGAGATTATTCGTGGGTCATAGTGCATATGCGAGCCAGTTGTTTATACATCTACGTTTTTATGAGCAAGTAGTCTTGTTAAATTCGAATTTTCTGTAGATACACTTTTCTAACAAACCCTGAAGGCATAAACCACAAACTTACAGTTTGGATAGAGGAAATTATATAATCAGGGTTTATTAGTGCTTATTTTAAACATGCCTGGTCTGTAGAAATAATACTAGCGTTATTATTATACCAGCGATTATGACTTCAGTTGTGATTTTGTAGATCAAAAACCTTGATGATCTATGTCGAATGATTGGAGGCCTATTCGAGTTAAACGGGAATGATATGACGAACCAGTCAACTTCGAGATCACATCTCGCGGTCAGCACTTAACGCGGATTACCCCTCCGACGTATCAATGTTCTATGGCTGCTCTGGAGAACGTATAACACAAAGGACGTTAATATGGAAATGTACTATTAAGAATGAGTGCAGAGTAGAAGGCTAGATCAAAACTGCATGCGCCAGCCATGGCGTACGATCAACTGATGCACGTTGGTTGTCCTTCACCTTGTCGAGAGATCGATGATCTGTTCAATATTCAGTGACCCAACTGCCGGATGATTTGGCTAAGGCTCAGTGACATTTCACCGGATCTACGATTTCATACATAATTTTCCATAGATTTTGGTTCGTGTCTTGAAATTGACAAAACGTTTACACGATCTATTCCGGCTCAAATTACAGAATGAAGTTATAGATCTAACCATACAATAAAGCGTTGTACTCTTAAATAGTGTAGATCCTTTGTATTTTATCTCGTAATAAATCACTGATGGGATGTCTGCATCTGAAATGTCAAGTCATGTGCTCATCCGATGTGGAGCCATTTTCGACAAACGCTCTGTGAGTTAGTGAAGATAATTGATATAAAATCTTATAAAAATCTTCAGGAATTCAGTGCTAGATGCCACAAGTATTCGGAATTTGACAACACCTTAACCAGCAACAACTTTTATAATTGAAACCTGCCAACCCAATCAAATCCATCTTCCTCCTTGTATATCTTCCGGTAGAACGAGACGTAATTACATTAAAATCCATGCACGCAAGCAAAAGTATAAAAGTTCTATAATGTCTTACCTAGAAAATATACTCTAACGAACAGATTGTCAGAGTTAACCTAGTCAATAACCTGCATTCTTAATATGTTTCTAATTTGAAAAGTTGTACAGTTTTTCAGATTTTTTTAGACCCTTTTTTCTCTTGGTTTCTGTTTTTTTGCGTAAGAAACTTGTTGAAATACCCTGTGCTGAGAACTCTATATTGTACCAAAATATAATATTGAATAAATCCATTAAATAAATAAAAAAATAAAAAAACGCCTATCAAGCAGTGTGAAAGACGGTTGAGTTACTATTGTAGCTTTCGAATGTCTGACTAAAAGCTTCATATTATTACTCACGAATATCTTTTGTGTATATCAGTGTTGTGAAGAAACCATGTAGAATTATAGTCTACTTCGTTATTAGAACTGCTCTAATAATAGATCTAATCCAAGAATTTCAAATTTATCATGTTATAACTGCCTAGTCTATAAGATCTCACATGAAAGTGACATCACTGTCTACACTGAATCACCGTGTCGCAACAATTACCAATATATGACGGAGAACACATACAGGCTGGAGATAGAACAATGGTCAGGGCCCAATTCCATAAAACAAATTTCAACTACGTTAGCGTTACATTTCCCATATTTGAAAAAGAGAGAAAAAGAAGGAAAATAGTGATAATGGTGTTATAATGATAGAATAATAATAAATCGGTCTCGGTATAATTGAGAATAATAGTGAGGAAAAAGTAGAAAATAAGGGAGTAGAAATAAAGGAGACGCGAAATACGTGAATAGTCTAATAAGCGTGTTTGTGAACAAGAATAAACGACTATGTATGTATTGCCAAATGGGTAACGAAAATGAAATTAAACATAGTAAATAACTTATTATTGCAATATGGTATGACGCCAGCATAAGTGTTTATGCAGTCTTAATTTGGGGTGATGCCATGAAAGTTTCAATTAGGTGCAAATGATAGCCAAATATCAATATGTATGAGTCATATATGCATAGTGAAAATAAAACGAGTCTAATAAGTTAATTTAAATGTAACACAAGTTATTGTCTTAATTACAGACTTCGGAATATTAAGAATAATATTTATTTAGAAGGAAGAGAGAGAATAGAAATGAACACCTAGTGAAAGTCTTCAACCATGATAATAAGAGAGTAATGAATATCGACCTCTGAAGCGAAGCATTGATTTTTTAATTTTTTTAAGTCCAATCAGGTAAACACATGTACATTTATGTATTAGGATACACAGTAAAACTTGATATTAGTATAAATGTTTGTGCAATAATAATTTAAAATGATGCTATGAAAGTCACAATTAATTGCAAAGGATAATCAAATATAAATTTCTATGTGTTGTACATGTGGTGAAGATGAAATGAATCCGAGGAGTTAATTTATTTAAATGTAAAGAAAGATAACTTGTTTCTGGCTATAGACTTTCGATGTTTAGGAACAAAACATGTATAGAAAGAAAAAAAGAGATGAAAAGAATATCTAATGAGTTGATGGACCAAACATGATAATAATAATAGTAATAAATGCAAATATGAACATTGGCAGACTTCATATATTAAGATGAACAGAAAGAAAATAAAATAGGAGTGAAAAGTTTCATGAGTTACACTTTGCTTTTCAGTCAATTAGATGGATGACGGACCTTGTGTGTATAAATCATTATTAAACGCACTGATATTTAATAGGTGACACAATCCACTTCCAGAAAAAAATCATCAAGGCGACTTCTGAGCCAGGTTGTAGTTTCACTGAAACGGAGGTTCACTGGCAGTCTGCTCTACATGGTTGAGTAGCAAGTAACGGAAACATTCTGGCTTAGGTCTGTGCAGGTTCTCGAAATGGCCAGAATAATTTCATTATTGAGTAGATTGTGGTGTGATATCATAGAATATGAGGGGGTGGAAATCGAAGAGTAGGAAATATCGTTAATAAGCCGGTGGATAAAGACAAGGTTTAATTTGATACGTCTGATCCAGAGAGGTTCTAATTTGAGTTGTTTACATCTTTGGTGATAATATTTGTTGTCGGAATACCCCAAAACAGCTATGGTGAACCTTCTTTGAACTCCTTCAGTTTTAATCAGGTCATTATGCCTGCAAATACTGTAAACTAAAATACCACATTCAAGAATGGTTAAGATACATTTTCTGTATAATAATAACCTCGGTTCGATATTATTGAAGTTTGTCATTATGAATCAAATGAGCTTTCTAGCTTTGGATACTTGAGATTCAATGTGCTCAGAAAAATTCAAACTGTTACTATATCTTAAACACAAGTCATAAACAGTGTTGAGAGGTTTCAGTGTATGTTTGTGTACAGTCAGATTTAAGTTAAGGCAGCGGCCAACGTGAATAAATCCACTTTTGTCAACATTAAGTGGCATATTCCACGAAACAGCCCATTCGTATAACTTGTTTATTTCTTCTTGGATTGCCGCTGAAATATAGCTTTCTTTCGGAGGAGAAGAGAATGAATATACTACTTTCAGGTCATCAGCAAAAAGGAAATGTTTACCATACTGAAATATGGAACACACGTCATTGATAAATAGGAGAAAGAGTAATAGACCAATCACACTTCCTTGTATAACCCCACTGGTTACATTCACAGGTTTAGAGTAGCAAGATCCAAAGCAAACGATTTGGCTACGTTCTTCTAAAAAAGATTTAGGCCAAGATAAAAGGGGATTCTGTATGCCAAATGAAGATAGTTTTGGAAGAAGGAGTTTGTGTGAGACACTGTCGAAAGCCTTACTGAAATCGAAGTGAAGGATTATCATTGACTGACCAACATCACTTCTCTGGGTAATTTGATCAAAAAAATTCAGGTGCGATGTGAAACATGAGCGTTCAGTCATAGACCCGTGTTGGGATGGGCCAATCAGACTAGCCGAGAGTAAAAATGATAATAGCTGTTCGAGATGATTTTTTCCATGGTTCTTGAGAGCACGGATGTTAAATTAATTGGCCTATGGTTAACACTGTCACTACGTGATCCTGTTTTAAATCTAAGGGTTATAAGAGATGTTTCCCATACAGACGGATAGGCCCTATATTCTATAGATAGGGTGAACAGTTTTAAACAAAATGCTACCACATCTCACAAACGATGGTAGAATCCCGTCACATCCACTATCACAAGACTTTTTCAGGGTAGCTATGGCCTGCTTTATGTTGGTGGATATGAAATAAATTTTTGGATCGATGTCTAGATGTCAACATTGAAAATGCATTGATAGAGGTTTCAGTTTCAATGTCGTAGCATTAAGAGAAATGCTGGCTAAATTGTTCATAAATATTATCAGGGTCGTCAATAATGCTCCCCTTAACCATGAAGAATTTAATCGTGCCAAAAAGATTCTATTTCACACGTGATTTAAAAAGCCAGAGTATTGGTAACTCTGGGATTTTACTACCTAGGATTTTATTTTCTATATTCA